CTGGGAGCAGGACTTTGTCATGGCATAAGCAGCTTCCACATCAGACTTCTTATATGGTCATTTGCCTCTCCTTTGAGTTTCAGACTCTAGGGCTAAAAATGAACATCCTTGGGTTCAGATGGAACTGCACCATTGGCAATCTATATGACTTCTAAAAGCATGGTCTTCTAGATGTTCCATAAGAATGAAAGGTATTCAACAGTGGTGCCCAATCTTTACAATGATTTGAAGGCAATATTAAACTGCCAAAAATAAAGAAGTCAAGGAACTATGGCCCTGGCTGTGTGGTCTTAGATCAGGTAGAGTCACCTAATTCTCTAGGATAGCAGTAACAACAACACGCTAATCCCTACGTGGCACTTACCATGTTACTGTAACTTGATATTGGTGAGAAACTTAACACATCCTTCACAACAACCTAGGAGTCAGGTACTCCTACTGTCCCCATTTTTTCCATGAAACCAAGACATACAGATTCCTAATAACTTACTCATGGTAGACATGGTAGACTCAGTCTTGTCTTACATCCTATTTTCTTAAGCACTATGTGGAATTTCCTCTTTCTAAAGGATAAAAAAATTAATCATCCAAGTTGTAAAAGTCTATTAAGATATAGCATTATTATAGACATTTAATTATAAATAAAACTAATTGTGCAAAAAGAATTACACTCAGTGTACCTGATTTACAGAATGCTAACCTCTCTGTACAACTTAATAATAACAAAATTATATTTAAGAATGAAAATTTTTTAATAAAATTTAAAAATATATTTATTAAAAATAATTGTTTGACTTACTAAGTTCATTAAAAATTATTAAATTTATTAGAAAATAAGTTCAAAAATTAATCTAGGTTTACATAGGAGATATATCAGATAGGATAAATGTCATCTCTTCTACAGATGCCAAACTTAAAACATTAAACAAAGCCAGATACCGGTGGCTCACACATGTAATCCTAACTACTCAGGGGGCTGAGATCTGAGGATAACGATTTGAGGCCAACCTGAGCAGGAAAGTCTGTCAGACTCTTAACTCTATTAAACTATTCAGAAAAAGCTGGAAGTGGTGTTGTGGCTTAAGTGGAAGAGCACTAGCCTTGAGCAAAAGAAAAAAAGGGATAGTGCTCATGCTCTGAGTTCAAACCATAGGAAACCAGAAAGGAAACACACGCACGCACACACACACACACACACACACACACACACACACACACACACACACACACAAGAATTTGATTTTTAAAAATCCCAGGGCTGGGAAGGTAGCTCAGTGGTAGAGTGCTTGCCTCACAGGCATGAGGTCCTGGGTTCGATTCCTCAGCACCACATAAGCAGAAAAAAAAAGCCAACACTGTGGCTCAAGTGGTAGAGCACTAGCCTTGAGCTGAAGAGCTAAGGAACAGCGCTCAGGCCCAGAGTTCAGGCCCCATGACTGGCAAAAAAAAAAGAAAATTCCAATTTTGGATAAGATTCCTAACGTGTTCAAAGATCTTATTTACAAGAAAGAACTAATACTTTTTTAAATTTTTTATTTTTTATTTTTTTTTTTGGGTCTGGTCGTGGGGTCTGAACTCTGGGCCTGGAAGCTGTCCCTCAGCTCTTCAGCTCAAGGCTAGCACTCTACCACTTGAGCCACACTGCCACTTCCGGCTTTTTTCTTTTTGCTTATGTGGTGCTGAGGAATCGAACCCAGGGCCTCAGGCATGCAAGGGAAGCGCTCTACCACTGAACCACCTTCCCAGCCCCAAAAAGAACTAATACTTTTTAAGAGGCCAATAATGAGTTGATTCTAGAGCTCCTTTCATCACAAAAATGAAGTCAAATTTTCAGAAGAAAGGATGCTAAGATCTGTATAGACAGTGCTAAAGGAATGAGCTCTTGTTCTTTATATCCACAATGTGTGTGGTTCCCCTCCCATGTTTATTCTACATTTGGCTTGCTTTCACAATACAAGTAGGACTTACAATGTACTTGTACATGGGTGATTGAGCTCCTAGAATACCATGTTCATGTAATGTGGTTTATAAAGCATTCTAGAGACCTGTAATCCAACCAATAACCAGCATCAACCTCTGGACATAAGAGCAAAACCATCTCAGACCATCCAGCTCTAGCTAGATGCATAAGTGACCTAAAGTAAGACTAGCGAAAAAACCATCCAACTAGCCCCAGACAATGAACTGAGCCATAGAATTGTAAACACATAAAATATTTGTTGTTTTAAGCCACTAAATTCCAAGACAGATTATTGTGTAGCAAAAATTAACTGATAGAGCCTGTGTCTAAGGCATTTCACGGGGAGCAACAGCAATGTGGAAGCTACCAATTGTTTGAGAGCCTGAACCATTTTCATAATAGGCAGGAGATTGTGTGGGTTGAAAAGGTAGAATCAGGAGTGTTAGGATGGCATGAATTTACCTACCTTTTGGTATGTGACTTCTAAGTGAAGTGGAAGGGAAAGCTGATCTTTATTACCATTAAGAGAAGGAAAAAAGGAAAGAAGCCACATTGCACCCTTGGCTCTAGACAGCGTTATAATAAGTCAGGTTTACAGCTACATGGTGCCTTCAGCTTCTGCCCTTCCCAGGCTATTCTTATTACTTTCACAGTATTACCACTGAAGCTCCAGGAAGTTTGAGGCACAGGGCAGCAAAAGGACTCAACCAAGGACAAATATAATCCTCAGCTTTTGGAGCCAAGAAACCCATTAAAGTCTGCTATCATCAACCTTAAAAATGAAACCATCATCCAGCCCAACTTATTTCTTTACAGGTGAGGAACAGAGGGTCTCAGAAAATGACTTGTCCATGGCCATACAGCCAAATCTGACTAAGCTGACTCATAAACTCGTCTGCTATTGGCAACCTTAAAAATGAAACCGTCATCCAGTCCAACTTATTTCTTTACAGGTGAGGAACAGAGGGTCTCTAAAAATGACTTGACTTGTCCATGCCCATACAGCTAAATCTGACTAAGCTGACTCATGAACTCAAGTTTATAGATTCTAATAACTACAGTGACAAGTGATACAAGTCATGAGCACTAGGGCTCAAGGGAAAACTATATTACCTAAATTCTATTTTAATAACCATCCTATCTTTGATTAAGAATATTGTCAAATTAATCACTAAAGACAGCCAACAAAACCACAAAACTCATTAGCTACAATAAGTTTTCAAATAACTAGGATACTTGGTTGACCAAAGGACAGAAGAGGAAAAGCCACTAAAATTTCATTAACACAGACTCTGTACTTACTTACATGTCTTCTACTTACATTTTTGTGAAAGTATCCATTAATAATAGTCACCAGGAGCAAATCTGTTAAGGTCTGAATACTTGTATGCACCCCAAATTCACGTGTTGAAACCCTAATCATTGGGGAAGTTATTAGATCATAAACGTAAAGCCCATATGATGGGATCACTGCAATTATATAGAGACAGGAGAAAACTGGCCTCCTCATGTTCACTTCCACTCTCCACCATGTAAGGATTCAACACAAGTCATCATCAAGAATCCACACTGGCCTCCTGTTTCCATATCCCTAGCTTCTCCAATACAAAAAGAAACCTTTGTTGTTACCCAGACAGTGGTATTCTGTCATGAAGCAAGTGCTGACCTAGACAGTATTTCACAGAATAAAGAAAATACTTGCTTATGGATTGAACTATAAACAGTGGCTAATAACTGCTTTTGAAAAAAAAAAAAAACTCAAATGCTGACATATGCAAATATGCTAAACTTAATGTGTATGTCTGCTTATATTTTACAACCAAAAGGAAATATTCTGGTCCCTTTTCTAACTTATTGTGTCAATGTGAACAAGTGATTTAACTACTCCAGGTCTCAAATGTTCCATCAATAAAACAAAGCAATCAGACTTCCAGTCTGAAGCTGCACTGAGGAAAGAAAAGAACTTTGGATACAACCACAGCTGGGATTGAAACTGAGGCCTAGCATCTGGGCAGCTGTCTGACCTGGGGGGCCTAGGCCTCACCTCTTTCAGCATCTAGATAAATTTTTTAAAATGACACCCTTCTCACAGGGCTTAGTAAGAATAAAAATTGCTATAAAGTACCCTAAAAATTACCTAGGGCCTATGAACACTTTAATCATGAAATGCTACTAATAATGATTAATTTCTTCATTCTTGATTATTTATGGAATGTGTTCTCTGGGCCAGGCAATTTTATCTATGTTTAAGACACAGAGAACTCCTTGCTTCACAGGACAGGCATTTTAGTGTACGGTAATCCAGACTCCCAACAAAGGAGAATTCCAAAGCAGTTCATGTCCTGAATCCCAACTGCATCTGGATTAGGTGTTCACCTTCTTAGGGGAAGCCACACTTTACAATGTTTTTCTATGCCTCTCATCACAGCCCAAGATGGTATTCACAGGAAGCCAGAGCCAGGTCTGGTATTCAAATGTGTCTTTCCAGTTCAGTTCTTTCCTCCCTCCTCACCCTCTCCAGATCGTCCCTCAGCCTGCAACAGCACCTTCCAGCACCTTCCAAAAACTTCCAGAGGAGGCCAAAGTTTGCTTAGCGGCATTACCTCCTATTTCCCACCAGAGGTCGCCCTCCCACACAAGCCCAAGCAAACAGAAGCGGCTTTGCCTCCTCCACGGCAGTGACATTATTTTCTTTCTCTATTTTTATCTATTAAAAAGATTTCTTCGCAGCCATAACTTAGATCTCTACACTAAAATGGAGCAACAGGAAGATATAATGGTGCATTTCATTTATGAATGACCTATAATAAATTACTCTGAAGTGTCCTGAGTGCCAGAAGACAGAACGCTTTGTCTGCCCATGGACTGTATTTCACATACTTTAATTTAGCTGACACATAAAACTCATTTGACATTTTGCAGGTATTTGTGTGGGGCGGGAATGGAAGGGGGGGCAAGAGGGGACAACTAGGTCTGGACGGGAAGTAGGGGGCCAGGCAGGAAGGGGGGGGACAGGCACAGCGGGCAGAGAAAAGGATATTTGGTTCTTGTTGAGGGTTAAGGTGTGCAGCTGGGGTAGCCCTGGCAACACAAGGTCGTCCCCCAGCAGATTGTTGTCCAAGATGAGCTCCTCCAAGCTCCTGAATGCGCTCAGTCCTTCCAGTGACCTGCAATGACAAAGGCAAGAGGAAAAATGATCCTGCACTAAATCAGAGAGGCTATTATGAGCCGAAATAAATATTTTAACCTTCCCTTTCAGGACTGGGAATAGTTTGGGCTTGGTGCCTGTCAGCAAAGTGAATGACAAGAATTAGTAGTGGGAGCCAGGGGTGGGGGCGGTGGGGAGAAGGGGCCGCTGGCACTCCCTGCATCCTTCACGCATTGCCAACATGAAGGATGAGGGTCACTTAGTAAGTAGCCAGGATCCAAAACAAAGGGCTTCAGATACGGCCTGCAGGATAAATTTGTCAATGTCTTGTGCCTTCAGGCACCCAGCCTGGGCTGACCCTAACCTCCATTCCCAAGATAAATAACTCTGTCACAGTTCACCTTCATTCCCTGGACACAAATTTAAGTTGTCATCCATCATTCCTGCCTAGAAATATCATACCCCTCTTACAATAATAAATATAACTTCAAGTATCATTTCTTAGCGGTTCTTTTCCATGCAGTCGTAGGGGAAATGGCAAGGAAGGTTTCTTTTCTCTTTTCACATCTTTGGATGCTCCCCCCCTTATTCCCTACCCTCTCCAGCCCCTCCCTGCCTTTTTTTCTTTTCTAATCGCTCTTTGCTTCTATCCAGTGTCCCCGTTGACTGCCCAACAAGCAAGACATCTGCAGAATTACATCACTCCAGCCCAAGAGGGCTTTTCCCCCTTTTCATTCTTTCTTTTTATTTGTTTTTGTTTTGTTTGAAGGAAAGAAGAATGATCGGGGGGGGGGGGGGGGGGGGGGGGGAATGTCTATTTCAAAGCTCCTGGCCTGAAGTTCCTATTTTAATGTATGCAAGTGGATTTCTCATTTTATTTTTGAAAACAAACTATAGAGTCTAGTACAAAGTGTAGATGTGGAGACAGTTTGGGGGGGAGGGGAGGCGACTAAGAAGATTAAGCATCCAGTGCAGGGGGAACAAATACTCTATCAGAAAGGAGGGAAAATCGCCTTGTTTACACACTTAACTGGAAGTTAACTCTTTATGGGATGAGCTCTTTGTGAGTGTTGGGGAGAGAGGCGATGCTGGGCAGTTGTGTACAAGTGATCGCCTGAGCACAGGCAGAGACATTAATTAAGGCAAGCGGCAGGTCCAGAGGCTTTTGCAAACACATGCTCTCCCGCTCACTCACCTGCTGGACCCAGGAGATATGCTGAGCTTGCACAGGCTGACAGCTGAGCTATGACATCTACCAGAGGGAGAACTAGCATGGGTTCCCTGCCTATTCCATAAAATGTGACGAATCAGGAAGATGTCATCAGGGTTATTTATTCGTGCAGGACTAGCCTCTACATTGCAGTTCTCTGAGCTTGCATATGCAATGGATGCACGATGGGGTACATGAACTTTAACACCCAGAGCTCCTTGGTGGGACTCTACTAAGGGGCCTCCGGACTAGGGAGTCCATACTTGTCATGTGTAAGCTGCAGTGTAAGAAATTAAACCTGAGATTCCACTGGACCCACAGATCCTCCTGCTTCCTCCCTGTCTGTCAGATCTCAAAGTGGTCCCACTCTGGCTCTACTACCCAGAGCACCTTGCCTCAGCAGCAATGGCAAGCACTGCCTGGCCCAACCTGAAAGGAAAGTACTGCACATACTTTGGGTTGCAGGCCATGCTATTTTATTTCCTGCTCAGCCTTCCTCATCTTCCTACTGGTTTTGAGACAGCAAAATAAAATTCCATTAATTCCATTCAGTGTGAATTCAGGCTCACTGTCAGCTAACCTGAACTTTTTGCCTGTGTTCCTGCTAGTTTACAGGATCTTACAGAAATGGAGAAGACTAAGTTGCAAATATTCCTTCTCTCCTTCCCTTGTTACTCCATTTCTCTTTTCATTCATTGATCACCCTCTACCCTATAGGCTCTGACCTTGGACATGTGTTGGTAAAACAGGGTGGGCAGATGAACAAACCCACTGAGATATGCTAGGTCTTATAAAGACCCTTTCTGAATTGGGAAGGACTGTCAATGAGTGATGCTCAGGACCAGGCTCTTCACCACCAGAGGAGAGAAAGGGGGCTGCCTCCTGCCTGACAGCTTTATGGGTGGCTAATAAGTTCTTTGTGTACAAATCTCAGCTGGACTCTGGTCAAAGGCAGCATCCACATACACATTGTTCCCGAGTTATGTTATGCAAATATTATACTTTTATCATGAGAATCAGCAAATGGCTGGCAACTGGCATGCAGAAGAAGAAAGCTTCATCCAATATGCTTTGGGGGAAGGCAGAAAACAAAATGACACGAATGACACAGCATGGTGAGGGACAAAGCTGCATAAGAGGTCACTCTCCCCCCTCTCCCTTCCCCTCCCCCGGCCTGCCAGCATATTTGTCCTCTCCCTCAGTGTGCAAGCTCAGGGCAGAGCTCCCTTGCAGAGTGAAGCCTCCAGGAGAGCTCCTTTCAAATCCTCCTTCAGAGATTGTTTTTTCTTTCTCACATTATGTCATTAGCTTCTCAGTAAAGAAAGAGCCATGTTACTTGGGGGCTGTTGACTAATAAATCCCTATTTTGATGTTATCGGTGTGCTGAACATTTTGGTCATTTAATCAGCTTCGTTCAGAGCTGCGGGTCTGAGGATGAGAGACAGAGAGCCGAGTGCTGTGAGGCTACGGGAAAGGATTTGTGGGACTTGGCTGGCATGTGGAGGTTAATAAATATACACTTGGAAGACGGCTTTATTTTTCACTTTTAATTTTCTTCCTAGTGATTATTGTAGTGGTTGTTCTCCAAGAAAGGAGCATGAAAGCAAAATTACTTGGAACAATCTTTGAGTTCATACCCCTCTATAACACATAGATAGCGCAAATAGATCTGCACTGTGAAATAAAACGACCAGGGAAAAAAATAAAATGGAAAGGGTTTTCAAGATGCACACAAGTCTACACTGCTTAATGGAAGAGCGGTAGTAACCTTAGAGGTGATGACAAGGAAACTGTAGTTTCTAATCTACCATAATCATGTGTAGGTTGAACAAATGTACCTCAAAATAAATGAACTGATGGAGGGAGTGACAATCATTCCAAAGCTCTTCATCCGCTTCCCTGGTGGTGACTGATGTCTGAGGCATGGGCCAGGGTGCTAGATGTGGCTGGCAAAGTTTTACCCACTTCTGGGCAAAGCCAGCCGGAGATAGTACCTCCCAGTCTGGTAAAGAACCACCAAGAACAGGCAGGGAGATAAGAGGGGAGGGCTGTTTGGTGGCAGGTGGTTTCTTCCAGGAATCTCATCAGCTCCTCCAGAACTCCTACCTGGCTGCCTGCCCCCCATCTACTGGCAAAAGAGCTGTCATGATCCTACCGCACAGCTACCCCCTCAGTCACCTGGATTGCTGGCTCAGCCTGAGCTCTCACAGGAGCTGCAGCAGCAAGAGAGTCCTGGTGCCTTTTCCAAAGTCACATCAAAATGACAAAACATCACAATGCATTCAGCTCCAGTGGATTCAAACGGAGATAACTTTTAAGTTTCCACTGTAATTAACCCTATCCTCGTTAAGATAATTATGATCAAGATTCCTGTCACAGTTAATACCCCAGCATCATCGCCTGTGGCTTACACTCTGCCCTCATTAGCTTATGAAAACAGCAGCTACTAAAGAGGGGGGTGACTGCCCTGCTCAGCAGAAGGCAGCTCTAGGAATCCTCAGGGAGGGGCAGAGCAGGGGGCAGGGCCGGAGGCAGAGCAGGGGGCCCCAAAGAGGGCGCTCCGAGCTCCTTACGTTCAGTCCCTGTGTGGATACAAACTCAGACTCCTTCATTCTTTCCCACAATGAGAATGGGCCACTAATGAGAATGGAGAAGGAGAAAGACTAGACCAGTCTGGAAGGGTGTTAGCGGGCTTCTGGTTTGTGGGCTTCTGGGAGTCAACATACAACCAGCCAGAGCTGTGCCATAAAAATCACCAGGGGTGATTTTTCAGAAGCCCTTGGCACACAAGCTCTGTCAAGGATAGAACTTGCTTCTCTCAGCTGACAACTGATACCAGCAGTAACACCTGTGCTTGGTATGGGATGAGGAGCAAGTGGCAGGAACAAACAGCCAGCCCACCACAGACCCTGAGTGCAGCATCTTACTCTCTTTGGAACCATATTTGGCCTCAAGGCTAGGACCAAACCTCAAGTCTGATATTCTCAAACCAAGCAAGGAAACAAGATTTTCAGTGAGATCTCCAGCTATTTCCTCAATGTATCGATATCCATCTACATATCCACAACCATGTTAAATGAGAATGGAAGAGACAGAGGTCACAGTCTTTGTACTTTGTACAGGGCTGAAACTGAGTTTGGCAGCTGAGATCTGACATCTTCCACAATGGCCCGTCCTCCTGGCTTACAAGGGCTGGCCATTGTCCCTCTACATGACGGTCTGCTCAGATCCCAACAAAAGGGGGTCACAATGTGACCGCTACATACCTGGAAAGTTGTCTGATGCATGGATGGCTCTGTGCCTCCTCACCAACCGAGCCCCACTCAGCCAAGAGCTGACAGAGAGCTAACAGAAAGCAAATCCCAAGGGCAGGGTGCCGGCCAGTGGCCAGGATGGCAGCCCCTGGTCTCTGCTTTCAGAAGCCAGGCACTTCCTTATCTTTATCTTGAGGTATATGTCTGAGATCAGGAAGAGTAAGAGTCAGAGACTGTCCCTGTATTCTAGGACAGAGAATACAGTCTTTAAATACTTCCTTAGCAGCTGAAAAGTAACTGTACCTTTGAAAGTAGTTTCCCTCATATTTTGCCACTACTTGGAATCCCCCCAACCCTTCATAATCCAGAAACTGAGTAGTCAGTGCCCACCAACCATATCTTAAGACCCCTGGAGATTTTCATTGGCCAATGTCTGTTCTAATGGGTCATTCCAGAGATAAATTTCCAGAGCAAAAATAAAAATGGGTTCCTGTTTTATCTCTACCCTACTCCAATGCTTGACATATAGCAGGTCCTAGAAAGAAAACTGAGAAT